AAAATGGGTGGATAGAGAAACTGAACGTTTGAATGTCAAGCCAGAGCTCGTTTGTAAGTCTTCCAAACTCTAATCCATTCATTTGGCTCAACGAACCCGCGATAGATGACGACAATAAAAGTGAAGCATCAGAAGCATCGGAGTCTACAGCGAATTCCTTGGAGAGAGAGGATCCAATGCGAGATTATTTGAAGGAGCAAAAGAAACTTAAGCCAAAGAAGAAAAAACACGCCGATGAGACCCCTGAAGAACGCAGAGCAAGAAAGGAGCGAAAAAAAGCAAAAAGAATAGCAAAGGAGGGTCGTGGCCATCGGGCTGAAATCACGGACCGTGGCCATTATTCAAGTCGACCAGAAAGAGGAACAAGGCGTTCTGCTTCCCCCCCATATCACCGCTCAGATAATAGACGTTCAAGAGAACGATCACCAGTCACGTCAAATCGCGACTCGCGTAGACGCCGTTCTAGATCACCTTATCGAGAGGAACGTGGTGCTCGTCCTTCCAAAGTGGATGATCAGTCGAGACATCATCGAGACTGAGGTCGTTGAACGGATTTACTTTGATCATTATGTGCATTACGGGAATATCCATAAATTCATATGCTAGTATACAATAGAATACGACCACTTTATTATCTATTACGAAAATGATAGAAATTTGGTGCCCAAGACCAAATGTCAAGGAAGAACAGACGCAAGAAAAGAATGCAAGAATGGTAGTAATCTTACTGTATGAGAGGCATCATAAAGCCAAAGGATGTACCTGATCCCGTTTTGTTGAATCGCGCTCTTTCTATCTAGCGAGTTGAGTCGAGTCTTTGATGTCTATAGCTGAGGCTGGTTGTCTCCATTGGTAGCTGGAGCAGTGAGTCCACTTGATGGTATTGTTGAGTTCGGTCCACCAGGCGCACCGTTTGCTGATTTTGGAGTATCTTCAGGTTGAGGCGTCCTGGGCGGCCCAGGTTGAGCAAAATCCGAGGATGGAATAGGCTTGAGGGTTGGGGGTACTAGGGACTTTTGATCAACTGAGGGAGGCGCTGATTCATCGCTCGGCCTATCAGAATATGGCAATTGTTCATCGGATCGAGATAGCCTCGTAAGTAATGATACTCAATGAATTGAAATTGTGACTCGTGGCCATCCTACACACCTCCTGCGCTTGTTTGCAGACGACTCATCCCCTTCTGCATTTGCCTAAGAATTTTGAGTGAACGGAAGCCCACCCGAACTGTATCAAAACCAAACCTTAGTTGTCTTGACTCGCTTTACAGACTTTCTCGGTCGACCAGCACCTTCAAATACGTTATCTGGTAGTGCAGAGCTGCAGATATTAATTCAGTCTCACTAATAAAGACGCATATCCACTTGCTGGTAGAGTTAAACGGGTACTAACTTTTTGATATGTCGAACTGCAATACCCATAGTTTCTGGAACAAATGACTCCCAACTCCTTGCTAATTTCATAAATTCGCTCGTCGGGGCAGATATGTCTAATTTTCGAGGGCCTTGATCAACAGTCCCGTTTGCTGTGATCGCAATCAGCAGATTGATTTAACTCTCTAGCTGTATAAGGTCTTACGTAGAACCGGCCGTGCAATTTCCAACCCGATATAATATGTTGTTGTGTAGATGGTTTGTGACTCCGCTGTTTGTAGTGCCTTCGCCTCTTCTTCTGTACGACTTGCTACATTAGGTGGTATCGTTCCGACAAGAACCTCGGCATGCTCTTGTAAGTTTATTGTATAATATGTTGTTTCAAACCCTTTGGTAAAGGGATGAACACGCGCTAGTGTCTCAATGGTTTCCATCTTTCCAACGAGCTGACGAACCTTTGATTCCACAGCTGCAGCCCTACAAGACATTAGATAACAGCACCATATGTACTTAAAACCCACTCACCATTTGGAGTGCTCGAGTTGTTCTGAAGATGAGGCGATAACTTGTAGATAATAGTGATACCTGCTAAAGAAATTATGCTTCTCAAAAAGGTCTGACCAAGTGGCCTCGCCGGAAGCGATCCGAGTACAGATTTCATGCCCTACCGAAGTCACTTCAGCATCTGGTACAATGAATCATTATACACCAACCTCTCTTCAGTTCCTCCTTC